ACAGGATCTGATAGAAAAGAAGAGGAGGAAGGTGAAAACAGAGCAAAGGTGACAGAGAACAGGATTACAGTTGTACAACGTCATACACTTCTCTATCACAAATAGCTTTAACGTCTATATCGTCACTGTCTATAAAACACTGGCTGCTCTAACTAACATTTGGTTCCAAAGACAAACAGCACTGTGCAGTTTTTCTCATGAATAATGTAACGTCTAATATCTACTACTGAATAAAGCAAATAAGTACGGCAGCATGTCTTGCTTTAAGTAGATCCTGTTAATGTCATAACAACATATTTTTCATTATTAATACACAACACTTTTTTTACAAGGAACATTTTGTGCAATAACATCACATCCTTCATCTTGTGTTATATCGAAACCTTTAAATCAATGTCTAACTGAAACAAAGAATCCAATGTTGGAATGCTGACATCAACCCAATGTTGGGTTGTGAGATTTAAATTTATGTTAATTTTCAACCAAAATCCAACATCCTTTCAATGCTGGAAGGTTTGATGTCAACCCAATGTTGGGCTTTGATGGGTATCACGTTCTAAATTTCGACCCCACTGCCACTTCTATCCAACATTGGAAGCTGATCGTTGGGTTTTGACATCAAAGCGACTTTCATTTCAAATCAAATTTCGATGTCTTTCCAGTGCTGAAGGTTGACATCAACCCAACAGTGGGCTTTGGCTATTATTGTCTTCTGAATTTCAGCCACAATGTTGAAGATTTCAAGCCAACGTTAGGCTTTGACATCAACCTGATTTTCATTTCCCACCAAAATTTAACATCTATCCAACGTTGGAGGGTTGATATCAACCCAAGGTTGGGTTCTGACATTCAAATTTTCAACCAAAATTCAATGTCTGTCCAATGTTGGAAGCTTGATGTCAACCCAGCACTGGGCTTTGACATCAACTTGATTTTCATTTCCAACCAAACTTTAACATCTATCCAATGCTGGATTTTTGACTTCAACCCAACTTTGTTTAACCACAGCGTCTACCTAAGGTTGGGGGTTGTTGCTAAGTCAATGCTGGGTTTTGACACCAACCCGAACGTCTGTCTCATGTTAGAGTCCATACGGTCTAACACGGTTGGCAGGTGTAGCTCAGTAGAAAGAAAATAGTTTCTCCATTAAACTGCTCACTACATAGTCTGTGGATTTTTTTGAGTAACCGGGTCATGATTTCTGTAAAGAGACATTGCAGTTGAGTTTTTTTGGTGTTTTGAGCACCACAAGCTGAGTGCCATCTCGTTCTATTATACTGGACAGAAGATAGACACCTCTACGGCCGATATCTCCAACACTCACACTAAAATAATCCTGACTGATTGTAGGCTACCCTGTCTGCTCTTTGGTCATTGGCTGGATCTTTTTCTTGTTCTATGTTATGTGATAAGAAACATTTCTTGTTTTAATAAGATACACTGATTTTGAGTAGTTTTGTATAATAAGATAAAGTGACAAAGTAATGACAAGAAAAACATGTTATTAAAACATGATAAAGATCTTGTTAAAGCAAGAAAATAATTTGCGAATATTTTATGTCACAGTGGCAATATATGCAGCAGTAGATAAGACAAGAAGTGCTGTGTCATATTTCTGTTTCACATACACGGATTCCTTCAGCAAAATAAAATCTCTTCACAACAAATAACTGTAACAGCTTCAACGTTCGGCACAATCTGACACAACTGACAAACAGTTTCACTACAGAGAGCTGGAACTGGGTGCTTCATATTTTCTACTAAGGCAGGGTCAGCTGCAAAACTCGTAAGGCAAAATCCAGTTAAAAGCACTTCATGAGCGAGGATGCTCCTGTTTGTCAGCATGAACACCTCAGAAAGTCATAAATTAGTAAATCAGGCAAATAAATAGGTTACAAAATACAGTGAATCACAAGTTAACACAATGGAAAGAAAAAAGGAAATTTTAAAGGGATAATTTGGATTTTTTGAAGTGGGGTTGGATGGGGTAGTTTTCAAAAGACAGTATATTACACACAATAGATGTCAGTCATCACACCCTCAATTTGGAGAAGCAGGCTGGAGTCCGACACATAAGGTAAGAATAACAACAAAAGGTGTTTTAACCACTTAAAATGTGTTGTCTTCAAAGCCACCAGACTACACTGACAACAACAGCAATTTTAGCACACTTAACACAAAAGCTGCTGGTCTACTGCTGCTTCAATCAGTCTAGGGATGCACCTAAATGTGGCCAAAGCCGAAGCCGAATAATATTAAATGCTTGGCCAAATACCGAGTGCCGAATACCGTTTTTTAGTTTTTCATTAGTTTTTGCAGATGAACCCCCTCCAGATTAGTGTTGTCACGGTACCAAAATTGGGACCCACGGTACGATACCAGTGAAAATATCACGGTTCTGAGTAGTATCAGGATACCACAGCAAGAATGAGGCAGATGTGCCTTTTGTCATTTATAAAAAGATAAATGACTTTTCTATAATACATCAATGATATTTCAATGGAATAAATTACTTATTGACTTATTCATACTTCAAAAACAGCATCAATAAGTGATTAACATAGAGGGGATTGAAATAAAATAAATAAATAAAATAAGAATCAACCAGCCACCCTCCTCCCCTGACAAGTAAAGAACAGTCCCTTCAGTGCGGTGAGGTTTGTGGGCCGTTACCTGCCACAAAGAGAGAAATGTGAACGGCTCGTTTCTCCTCTGACACGTCACATACCTGTGTGCCGCCACGGCTCAGCTGTTCAGGTATTTTTGGGTCATGACAACAAGTCATTCACCTGGAGCCGGACTTCTCCGTCGCCAGTAAGCCGTTATCATGTGCCGTCGTATTTGTTAGGAATACGTATTCCTGTCCGTGTCTGTGACCCCCGTTCAACCCACAACCGGCGGGATTCGCCGTTTCGTTTCTGCTGCTGGTTGAAATCTGTACTTGCACAGCGTGCTGAATGATTTATTTTGCTCGCACAAAACTATTTTTAGTCACAAATGTGAGTGCGGTGACGGACGGAGTAAAATATCGCCACACTGCCGACATTTTACTCCGTCCGTCAGCGCACGCTGTTTGATTGCGTTATCAAAACACGCCGCTATTATTCGGCCTTGCTTTTCACTTATTCCAACAAATACCAAATGTGTGTTTTTTTTGCAATATTCGGCCGAATATATTCGGTTACCAAATATTCTGTAACTTTGGTGAATCTGAACTAACTGTTTTAAACGCCAAAGTCACACAATACCACAAACTAACTAACTGTTCGAGGCAGCAGTAGACCAGCAGCTCCTGTGTTCAGCAATGTTAAATCGCTGTTTTTGACAATGGAGTCTGGCTTTGAAGAGAGCAATACAATGGCTTCATTTTACCAATGGAAATCGATGTCTGACAGAAAGGTAAAGCAGTGAATATACTCTTAATATAGCTTAAACTTAAACTGATAATCATTTTTTTAGGTGGGCAGAAGACCTTTTGTTGCTGACCCCTCCACAACAGTACATTGCTTAGCTCCCGTGTCGGACTCCCGTCTGCTTCTCCAAACTCGGGGCATGCCAACTGACATCTACTGTATGTAATATACTGTCCGCGGGTAAGTACTCCATTCAACCCTTCTTAAAAAGACAGAACGATCCCTTTAAGACAAGGATAAGACCACTTAACCAGGACATGAGTGCAAAACACTGGAATGATTGTAACATTAGCATCATTTTTTACTTACACAATGGAATGTAACATTTATCAGACTTGGCATCACAAACACACATGACATAACCGAATGTGCAGATTTAGTCACAGGAGACATATTGGATATATGTCAAATGGGAAAATACTGAGTATTAATAAAGCCCATTTACATTCCATCCTCCTAAAAATAAATTACAAAGGTATGCCGTCTTAACTTCACATTACTAGTTCTCCAAATTTTAGTCAGAACATATTGGACTCTCAGATGCCAGAAAAGGTTTAGTCTGGATGACATCATCATTCTGGCCAGCTGCAACTGAAGATTAACTAAGCAGAATTTTAAGACAGTGTGTTAAGACATTACGCCGTGGTAGAGATATGAAGGGGATCATCTGTGTTGTGAAATTAACACTACAACAGTTTTCCGTTCTATGTCTGTCCAGCTGGGAGAGAAGCGGTGACTGTTGTGTTGTCACCGTGAAGGCAGTAAGACGCTAAGGCAGATTTCCAAAATGCAAAAACCTTCAAGAATATGTTTGAAATGACTGCAGACTGTGTTGTGACACCAGTTAAACTCTCTTCAGATGGTTTCTAATGTGACTAGCAGATGACTGACCACAGCTATTGAACTCCACGACTTCACTGTCCTCAGGCAGCAAAGGTGGAGGTCCAGGGAAAAAGCATTGATTATACAGACATCAGAATATGTCTGATTTGGCTAATCAGGTGGCAAGGATCGATTAAACATCATAGGGCTGCCCCCAAACTAAGAATTTTCCTAGTCAACCAACAGTCGTCATTTAGGGCCATTAGTCGACTAGTTGCCCGCATGTTTACGATATTAGTGTAATGATTAAATGATATATTTTGGTGGTTTGAGTTGAAGGTGTGAGAAAGAATAGTATCAGTAACATTGTTAACACTGTGCTACATTACAGAGAAATACAAAACCGTACTAATGAACCTTCATTAATATAGGCCTATATTTTATCTACAAGTGCACGTCACACACTGAGCGAGCCGCCTGTTAACGACGCTGTGGGCTAATGGGCATGTAGCTACTTCCATGTTTCAGATGATACGTCATGTTTGTAGTCGACCAATGAAGATGAGTTTACATATCACCTTGGGTTCGTCCTTCACCTTCTCAAAATGATCCCACACTTTGGATTTCCTGCCCGACATGTTATTAACTAGCCTGTGGAATAACCGCTGGTACCAGCCCTGGAGATTAACCTGACTCCTGTCTGACTGCTGAGCGTGGACACTTCCTGTGTCTGTCCTTTCAAATTAAAGTCACACATGGTCCAGTCAAAGCACAGCTCTTACTAGAGTTTCATGTTTGCGGACTAAAGACCTTTCTGGTCGACTAACGTTTGGTCGACTTCTTGGGGGCAGCCTTAAATCATCTGTATCGGCCCAGAATTTCAAAATTGGTGCATCCCTACTATTGACATGATATCGATATATTGCCTAGTCCTACTTCTGGACTCACTGCTCTTAAATTTTTCGAACCTATTTTTAAAATGCTGTGATCACCACATATTAAAGTATATAATATTTGGATGGAAGCAGACATTTTAGAGAGCTGACAGCATGGACAGATACAACCAAAAGTAAGTGAGACTCCAGCAGTTCACTGTTTACGTTGCCGAATGGACCTTGACCAACGCCTTTCCTCAATCCTTCATATACCTGTTTCTGTGGAGCCAGGTTCTTGTATGATTTAGACATTAACTGCACAGATAATTCTCCGAGGGGCCTGTTAAAGGAACTGTGACGCATCTGTGAAGCCAGTAAAATGTCTTACGTCCAACTCTTCACCACACTACACTACAGTATGTTCCTTTCCTACACCTGGACATTTGCAGGTTAAAAAAAGTCACTGCCAGAGACATGTGATCCCTCAGGAAGTCTCAGATTTAAGGAGTAGAGCTCACATTATGTCAGAATCCCATGTGCAGCTCGATACAGAGCCAGTGGGATACTGAAGAATGGGTCAACGAAGAATAGAAACAGTGATGCTGAATCCCAACGGAGCATTTTGAGATTTAAGTTAGGGGGAAAGCAAATCCTGCTTCTCCAGAGTAGAGCAACAGGTGTGGGTTTTTCTACCCTGAACCTGCGAGAGGGGATGAGGGCAGAGTGTGAAAACCATCTGAAGTGAGTTTAGTCAAAGCCGCAGAGTTTAGCGAGCAGGAAGAGGCCTGATGGGGAGATTGGAGGAGACTTTGCCACATGTTTAGATCTGAACGGCACGTCAGACACATTCTGAGATCAAACACAAACCAGGTGCTCTCATGTAATCAAAGCTGCTTCAAATGTAGTTTGTGTAGAAGTGTGTGTGTGTGTGTGTGTGTGTGTGTGTGTGTGTGTGTGTGTACAGGACACCATGTTCAAGACCCACGCATGTCAACACATCAACATGTAATTAAAGACAAGCCTGAGGGACCTCACGAGTTTGAAGTGGGGACACAGAATATTCAGTCTCACCAGACACACTCACTTACACGCTCATCGCAGAAGATTAGTAGAACAGGAGCAGCCTCGCTGTCACACTGCTGTTCAGCAATTCATCAGTGGTGAATGATCAGTTAGGATGATGGAAAATGGAAGCTGGGTTGTTCCTGTGGGTTTTCTCCTCATGCCACCAGCTTCTCTGGGTTCTTGGACAGCGTGTGCAACAGGCTCCTCTGGAAGTCCTCCTCAGGTATTTCAGGAACCAGGAACTCAAGCAGAAGATCAAATATGCAGTAGACCAGATGTCTGAGGGAACAAAGGAGCAGCCGTCAGCATCTTTTCTTCAGTGACTTAATGTGAGTGAGATTTAGTGAGGAGATGCTTTGATAAAATAGCTGGTGTGAGGCCCATGGTTAGATTTGGAGCTCTGCTACCTGCTTGAGTTATCGCAGTCACGTGGAGTCTTTGAAGTCTTGCTCTGAAAAACTAAATTAATACCATGTTATTTTTGTCAGTGTCAACGTCCTATCTGTCATGTCATTTGACACATTAAGTTTAAAGGTCCAGTGTGCAGGATTTAGTGGTGATATTATCAAAAGAATCAAGTTTGAAACCAGTGACCAGTATTTGTATTTCACAAAACAGAATATGTAAAAAGTAAAAAGTATCTTGATGTCTTTCTGAGACTCCACATATCAAATCGAAATACTACAAGTAACAGAGCTGACTGATTTAAACCATGGTTAGTTTGTACATCTGTAAACCATTTTTGACCTCTCCAGCTGTTTACTCAACACTCTGTTGTTTAGTGAACAAATTAGTCCACGCTTACACAGTCTGTGCTTACGTAAGCACCAGAGGATCATCAGGAACCGTTTTAACATCAGCCCTTGGCATGTTAGCATGCTAAATATGCTAATTAGATCCAAACACAAAGTACAGCTGAGGTTGAAGGGGGTGTTAATAATTGCGCAGGTATGGTATAATTTTAAACAGTTACACCTAAAAAGAGTGTGTTACGTAACCCTTCACTGTAAAGAGACGATGATCACATCATTAATTGATGATTATTAAAATTCACATTTGAATTTGTGTTAGTTGCTTCGAGTGAAGTCCTTGAAAACAGAAAAACTGTGCTTGAAAAAAATATTTTAAAGTCCTTGAATTTCATTTTGTAATGTACGTATGAACACAAGAAACATTTTTTCCAATGATATCTAAACAGATTATTGGACATTTATCAGCGATAGCGAAGATACCGCTATCACTGTGTGTATCATGAGATGAGAATCTGAGAAGAAGGTTTACCAAGTGCTTTTCTCCCCCTTTTCCCATGCATCCCCAACGCACTGGTGCCCTAAGTAAGTTGCCTATGTGCAAAGTGTATGTTCACCTGTTAATATAGGGGTCTTGAAAAGAGTCCAGTGCAGTCTGCCAGCTGAGTTTGTACTTGTCTGAGCCCAACATGTCAGAGACCAGATCTGGAGACACAAAGACAGAATTATAGCTGCTGCGCAGTGGATTCTGCACCAGTTGAGGCTCGAACCCACAACCTCTGGAACCTAAGACGGTCATCTACCGCTCTGAGCTAATTGGCAAGTAGCAACTCAACAGTGGCTTCACAAACTGAGTAAGCCATTCACTGTTGTGTAGGAAAGCAGCCATCCGTGCATGGAAAGGCAGCTTTGAAACCACTGTAAAAGATTCAGTTATTGAGACAAAAATCTGAAAATACACATATTGCATCTAGACAGCACGGAGATGTTGGTAATTTGTTTGTAACAATGATTGATTTGCTCCATAAGTGAAAAACTGATGTTTAAAATTGCCATTTTTACATTGACTCCAATTGTTCACATTAGAGCAAAATTCAAAATGCTGTCAAAAATTCAGTTTTTGAGATAAAATTCATGAACATTGAAGATTTATTTAGCAAGAATTTGCATGTATATGTTTACAGTACCGTTTACATTCAAACATTTTGATGCACTGTAGGCTCAATTTTTGATAAATCAAAAATCTGAGAAACGTAGTTTTTGTAGGACAGTCTGAAGATGCTCTGTAGCACGTTTGGTGTCAACTGAGCAAAAATTGTGGGAGGAGATAGGTTTAAGAAGTTTTACAGTTTTTGAAAAAAAATAGAGTGATGAACTTCATAATTTTTAATAGGTTTAAATGTACAAAAGTTTCTTCAGTATTGGGGCTACAGTTTGATGAAAGTTGTGAAGTTGTAGCACGTATGGTTGATTTGTTATGAATTTTCAAAGTTTTGAACTTTAGACGCTTGCTGTAGCGCCACCATCAGGACTATTGGCTTGAGTTTACAGCTGAGGATATCTGGCATGAGACTGGACCTTTGTGCAAAGTTTGGTGAGTTTTCACCCATGGGAAGTATGATTTCCTCGGAAGAAGAAGAAGAAGAAGAATACCTAGGATTACAATAGTGTCCTCCCTAATTATAAAACACTGTGTAACCAGCTGTTTGTATTGTTGCTATTTGTCTGCATGTACACGTACCTGGTAGGAGTCTCATCAGACACTGTAAGGCTTGTTGCCTGGTGCTGTCCTTCTGCTGCTGGCTGCGTTCAAGTCGAGGGGCCGTAGGCATAGCTCCTCCTGGCCACACGGCCTCCTGTATGACCTGCAGGTACACCACCCAGTACCTGGTGCATGTCAGGTTGGCTATGCTCACATCCAGCCATCTGAAATTTACAAACACACAACAGCGTTACACTCAACTTAAACTCTGACCCACAAATTTGTGCCGCTGACCTGGAGCAAGCCATCTTGACAGGGACCGAGAGTTCAAAATGGAGGAAGCTAACATTATTATTAGCTCGTTAGCATGTGCTGCACTATTCTCTTTTCTTTAATTTACTGGAATAAATAGTATTCCACCCAAAATAGGCATGGTTTGCAGACAGTTATGGGACAGGTGTTGATGGTACCAATCAAGCAGTGCTGAAAACATTCTTTTTCGCTATCTGTATCAGTCTGGACTCGGTGCTGCCTAAAACACTTTCAGTGGCTGAGAGTACTTGCTTTGACAGACAAACTCCTCCAGCCAATCACAAAACACCAGGAAACATCTTGTTCGTCACGAACAAAGCCAGATGATTAATCAAGCTTTTGCCAAATCCAGGCAAAAACATCTTTTCCTCCAAAAAAATTCCACAAGTGTATACTCTTGTTCTTGTTTGTTATCGACTCTATTTCTGCAATAACTTCACTTACTGTTGTGTTTACTGATGTTAGAGTTAGCGCTTGTTGCTTCAGGAGCCGCCATTACTGTTCTGCAAGCTGCGGGCTACATTTTACGTCATCAACCACCATTCTGAATGGACCGCAAGTGACTTGCAAATGTGTCATATGTGTACAAAACACACTTAATTTTTAAGTACAGTAAATTTCCGGCTCAGAGTTTTTATTTTGAAGTACTGTTTCCTGCTCTAGAGTGAGAGCTAATTGACAGAGACAGCCAACTAGCTTGATGACATGTCCAAACACAAGTATGATGCTGAATGTATTAAACTATGTGGACCTCGAGCTAATAACTAAGGAGAGATCTGGACCCATGGCTGGACCAGTTGGGAACCACTGCAGTACATCGCCAAGAGTCTGGCGCCACCAGTGTCCACATACAGTATGAGCGAATACCACCACCTTATTACATAAAAGCGTATCTGATGTCAAGGCACAATGACCTTGGCAACAGTTGGTTAACCTCCTGACTTAATGGCCCTACAAAACAGTCAGTCAAAGTGCTGTGACCTTGTCATCGTGCCTCACCTGACCAGTACTGAATAATCTTGGCCTCAGACCAGCCAGACCCTTCAAATGTAACCCATGCCTCACTGCATTCCCACGTGGATTTGAAACTCAAAGTGCTGAGTCCATTGCCCTCAAGTCATCCTTACGTGGATGACTGCTGGATTTAAGGTCTTGTGATGAGTAAATTCAATAGGCTGCGTGTAGCTGGGAGACATTGACCCTTTCATTCTGACCTGACCTTTTTCATGCCAAGATTTACCATCTGAGGGTCGGAAACACAGCCAGTCGCCACCCAGACTGGATGAGGAGGTTATTTAAAGCTCAAAGTAAAAGCTAAAAACAACATCTCAATGTAGCTCAAGCATTCAAGCATTGTACGGGTCAGGAGCATAAAGCTGCAGGAGATACTAGCAAAGTAGTCTGAATGAAAGCAAAGTACATACGACAGTGTGGCGTTCACGACCATTTAAGGCCTTGAATAAGATAATTTCAGATACTGTAAGAGTTTTCGAGGACTTACAGACCCTAAATATATAACACCATGCAGATGCTGTTATGCAACATTGTACAAAACCTCGGGGCTCTGTTAAAAAGAACCAGGGACCCACCTCTGGGCCTAATGTTCTGCTTCTTCTGCTCACTACATGTGGCCCCTAATGAAGTTATTTCATTAGCTTGTTCTGGCCAGTCTCCACGCTGAGGAGCTGCACTTAGAGAAGCTATGGGTGGCAAAGTTGTGCCAGCCACAACTTTGGGTTTCAGCTATTTTACATGTTTTTATCTGTTGGTATTTCATAACAGTGCAAGATGCCAAAACCTTAATACTGATGGTTAAGTAATTTTGATTCAAGTTGTACAACTGCAGACAAAAACCAGGGATGGGAGACACTGTGAATTAAGTTTATGTAAGGGGTCGCTGATTGATGCCAAAACTTGTGAGATGTGAAACTGCATATGTATGTGTGTGTGTGTAACATGTAAAAAAAACTACATAATAATCAACAAAAAGAGGACATTTAATTTTACATATTTATGCAGGACACTGGGATACACTTAGTCAAGAGGCTTGACAAATTCATATGAGCATTAATAAAACACTACACTGATATAAAGTAAATTCTACACTCCCTCATGCACAAACACAGATGATACTGCAAATTGTGCGAGCATCCTTAAAACTCAAGTCACCCCAGTAACAACAGTATATTCTGGTCGAGGCTAGTAAAAGCCCAGCCGGTGGACAATGAAGTTTGTCTCTTCACCAGCTCATACCAGTCACAGACAAGCCCACTAAATCCCACTGAGTAATGACCGACCACTGGAAAGGGGAAAACACGAACACCGAGACCTCCAGTCACTGACAGCCAGACACAATAAAGAGCTGCAGCACCGAGACATTATTTGGACTAATTTACAATTTGTCAGGGATTCCACAGTCACTTTAGTGCTACGACTGTAAATCTTTAGAATGATTAAACGGCCTGATGGTTACAGGCTGTAAAACTAGAATTACTGCCTTGTGATTGTATGCCTCCGAAAACCAGTCGAGTTGGTGTTGCAGTTTACATCCATGTCTGTCCAGACTCATATGGAGCCATGACAGTTGACAGTGCTTTAAATTAGAGATGTTGCTGCATATAAGCAACAAATTCTAAAATGTGATTGCCTCACACGTTTTCCCCCCGCAGCACAGAAGATCTAAAGAATTCAGCAGTTTCAAGATGGACACTCAAAATTAGTGGTTACAATGGTTCCAGTGTAATGACAGTCTTATTGCTATGATAAAAGAAAGAGAGCTGCAGAGCTGGAGGGAGTGAACAGCAGTTGTCGACCACATCAATGCAGCCAGTCTGCCACCAGTCAAGGCAGAAAAGCTGCCACTGAGTTTCAATCTTAAATCACCAGAGGCAAAATTATCAGAGTAAATCACTGGCCTACAACAGTAAGGAAGATCCTAAGTGCTGGGGTACACTATGCCATGGACTGCACCATTTGTAAATTCAAAGCTGTTGGAATGTAATGTTTTGCTATCTAGTGCAACGCACTCTCTGAGTTGCAAAGCATTCTCTGGGCGCTCTGTCGACTCATATAGAAACAGAGCGCTCTGTTTCTTCGAACATCAGCTCTGTCATTTTAGCGTAGAGCATCAGATTAGATTGATGAACGCACCCACAGATTCATCCTCTTTGATCCAAACACATTTAGCATAACCCACCCATTCACACGGTCTTCATCAGCAATTGGAGTTTGCTCGTTTGCCACAGAACTGTAGGTCCAAATCAAATGTTCCAGAGCAAGCAAGCAAATGGACCTTGAGTTGAAATTGTTTTGTCAGCTGCAGCTTCGAAGGTCAAGAATGAGTTCCACACTGAAATAAAAACTGTGTTTCTCGTATGATGACTAACAGGGAACACTGACACAGATTGAGGGTGTTATTGAAGGCATCATGTGGAGTTTTTGACCTCTAGTAGTAGTATAGAGCAGTTTTGTTTGTAGTGCTGCACACTGCAGCCAGTAGATTCTCACTATTCTACTGAGTGACTATTCCAGACAGGTGGTGACAACATGCAACAATGTGCCAGCAAAGAGAGGGAAGACGGGACTGCCAGCAATTGAACATGGACGCAAACAATGCAGGATTTCAAAATGTGAAAAAAAGAAAAAGAAACAGCTTGGTAAAAGTTTTATGAGGATGGAAATGCACACTCAACAAAACTATAAAGTAAAATGTCCAGCTAAGGTTTGTGTGAGCACACAGAATAAAGGTTCTCAGACTGAAATCAGAATTTAAGAGTGCACAGATGCATAAATACAGCGTGCCTTATCATCTCGTTCACGATAATATCCACAAAATTTTTACTATATGAAAAACTCATGTCATGATATTTCCACTTGTTGACATATTGGTGTCATACTGTTACCCACGGCAACAACAAGCATGGCTGAAAGCGAAATTATTCCCGACTCCTCGGTGGTTCCAAAAAGAGGAGCAGCTTCAGTAGTGTGGAATAAACTGTGGCGTCCTGAATGTTTTATGAACAGCGCTGGACTTCTCAGACTCTTTAAGCGACTTACCGCTCAGAGGGAACTCATTCAGCAGCTCCTCTGGCAGCAGCACAGCGTCTCTCCCTCTCCTCTCCTGCCGTGCGCACACGGGAGTTGGTGCCGTCAAGTCATTTTGTCATAAACCTTTGGTAATGTAAACCTACATGACGCTTGCAGCTCAACACAAAACTCCATATATGTGTGACAGCGTGACAGTAATGTCCAAAACTCAGCTGCTAGAGTTCTCTGTCACACGAGGCTCTGGGAGCACATTACACCGACCCTCCAGCAAAGTTACTGGCCCCCAGTTAAAAACTGCATTTTAAGTACTCCTCCTTGTCTATAAATCTCTCCATAGCTTGGCATCGCCCTACCTTTCCAATCTTCCCCATTCCTACGCACCTCTTGGTCCACTCCGTTTCTCTGATGCCCATTTGATCCCAACTCCCCACTCCAGGCTCTGCACTATGGGTTGGGGCCTTTAGTGTGGCTGGCCCTTATCTGTGGAATGCTCTCCCTCAGGGTCCAAGGCACGTCGTTTTCTTCTTTTAAGTCACAACTGAAAACTTATCCTTTCAGAATAACCTCTCCTGGTGTTTCATAATGTGTTTTATGAGTATGTGACTAAATGTCTCCTCTTCTGTTCCTGAGATATGACGTTGAGTAATGGCCAGAAAAGTGTTTTCGCAGAGCATTATGACGTCACAGTGAAGTTGACCTTTGACTTTTTGGATATAAAAAGACATCACGTCATCATTATATCCAATAAGACATTTGTGTGAAATGTTGTGATATTTAGCGTATGAATTCTTGAGTGACAGACCTCGAACTTCGACCACCATTTTGTGCCACATTTACAAAAATTCCCTCAAGGCATTCATGAGAT